ACCTACCTACCTACCTACCTACCTACCTACCTACCTACCTACCTACCCTTACCTACCTAACATACCTAACATACCTACCTTACCTTACCTACTTACCTTACCTACCTAACATACCTACCATACCTACCTACCTTACCTACCTTACCTACCTAACATACCTAACATACCTACCTACCTTACCTTACCTATCTTACCTACCTAACCTACCTTACCTTACCTACCTACCTTACCTTACCTACCTACCTTACCTTACCTTACCTACCTACCTTACCGTACCTAACCTAACCTAACCTAACTTCCTACCTTATCTTACCTACCTACCTTACCTCACCTACCTACCTACCTACCTTACCTCACCTACCTACCTACCTTACCTAACTTACCTTTCCTACCTACCTATCTTACCTTACCTACCTACCTTCCTACCTTACCTACCTACCTTACCTTACTTACCTTTCCTACCTACCTACCTTACCTTACCTACCTACCTTACCTTACTTACCTTTCCTACCTACCTACCTTACCTTACCTACCTACCTTACCTTACCTACCTTACCTTACTTACCTAACCTACCTACCTTACCTACCCCCCCCCCACACACACACACAGACAGATCTATATCACATTTTTTATAATTTATGTTTTACTGTAATAAAATGGTTTTCAAAGAAACAACCAAAATATTTTAAATGTTTGCATAAAACTCTTGAATTCAGTTCACAAACAGAACATTAATGTCATTTGAACCGGGCTTTATCTTTACATCTTGCTTTTCTGCAAAGTTTGCTTGAACATTTAATGTAAATTCATTTACTCAGTGTTGTAATATTGTAAAGGTATAGTCAATCAGGGAAACTGTGACATTTACTGGAATATTTTTACACTGAATGGAGCGTCACCTTCACTCAAAGTCTTGTAAATACAGACTGCTTCAAAAACAAGCTAAACACATTTAAATACGTCATTTCCTTAAAAAAACTAGGTGTACTCAGTGTTTGAGAGAGTGTGATGTGTTTGAGGGCTTTAATAAGACATAAATATGGAGCAGGGTTGGGTATGTATGGACAGACGGTGGTAAATGTGGGACGGACTAAAAATAAAGTGCAGGACTCGTGTTTTTCATCATGGAGGGACACATTGTACAAACCTCAGCATTTTTAATAACATCTTTCTGTGGCTGCTTAAAAAAACCCTCTGAACACATTCCTTAGAAACACAACAGTTTCATCAGTGCTATTTTTTTATTACTTTACAGTACTGTGCAAAAGTTTTAAGCTGCCCTCCCTCCTTTATATTTACCTTCCAACGAGTCAGACATTTTTGATCTTGATCAGTAGATCTCCAGTTTAATTTTTTTAAAGTTTTTCTTTGGACTTTGGCTGCGTTTTAGTTCTAAACCCAATATTTGTTGTTGTTGTTGTTTATTTGTTTGTTAGGCCACCTAGCTCTGATCGATGACTCATTCAAGCTTAAAAGAAAAAAGCTCTTGAACTCATTTTCACACGACTTAGAAACAAAACAGTTTTGCTGTAAATGGGACATTTCGTTACATTTTCTTTAACTAAACCTATAAAAAGTAACAACTATAACACAAATTATCACATAAATTTGTATTTCATCACTAACGAGGGGATTCCTTTGGAGCCACTGAAAACAAACAGTGAAGAATCATCTGATGATGGATCTCTCAGGTCATTTTCATAGATACATATTTCAGATACTGATCACCTGCTGTCGACAGCTTTTATTGTCCTGACACTCCGTCTTTTGTCCTGATCAGGAACAAGAACTGGACAAAAAGCGAGTGAAAAGCAACCAAAGTTAAATAAATAAAAGACCTTCAAAAAGTGAGAAAATCTATTGATCAGGACTATACAAGACAATCTGGCTCCATGGAAATAAACAAATAATGGGGAGGTTAAACCTTTTGCATTGTAGTGCAAGTTCATAAAAATAGGAAGAAAAAATATGAAGAACCATAATCTTCCCTGTAAAACTTGTCATGTGTAATTTCTGTCAAATTACTGTAAACCTCTCCCCGATTCTGTTTCTATAAGCGAGGAAAGTTGACTTTGTGTCCCCCACTTGAAGATGCATCAAATCTTAAATATGTGAAAATGCTAAAACGCACCCACGGTGTACTTAAAACGAACATCTGCAGCTCTTTAAAACACGTTCACGCCATCAGTTTTACCTTCTGCACGTTGAAATCTTTCTGCGGTTTCACGCTCGCCTGCACCATCATCACACACGCCATCACCATGGCAACGGAGACCGCCGTGGTCCTCATGGCTGCACGGAGAAATGAAGCTGGGGAGAGATGGTGAAAGGTTGAGACGGAGTTTCGGACCAGAGACCGAAGTGAACTTTAGCAGCCGATAGACACACTTGGACTGAAAAAAGGCTGAAGTCATATTTGCTCCAGCTGCCGATCCACCCACCTGGGTGTCAGCCAATTAAAACAAACAGAACCTGCGTTGGGGGGGAAAAGAAAAAAAAAAAGTCCTGACTTCTGAGAACAACCCAAGTAAGTCATGCTTGTGGTTTACTGAGATCAGCTGAGGTTCAGCTGCTGGTAGGCGGTGTCAGAGGTCACACTCACAGATGACGGATCAGGAGGAACAAAACCATAAACTCCTGAAGCAAAACAAGGAAGTGCTATTTAAAACACACTGATAAACTAAAACCTCTGGTCACACAGCAGATCTCAATGTTCTTATCAAAGCCTGGCCTCCTCTCAAACATGACCCAGAGGCCGTTCTGTTGCAGATAATGAACTCATGTAGTGCGACCTCTAGCGGTGGTGAAAACAACTGCATGTGGAAATGGAAGTAAAGAAAATGTAAATGTCTACTCCTATGAAAATTGGGAAGTTCTTTCTGAAGAATCACATGGTTGAGTTAGTTTTTCTTTGCTGGCTGAAGAAGCAGTGCAAAAAAAGTTTTAAAGCTAAGATCAATTTCTGTTGTGAAATTAGGTTTTAATCATTTTGGTCAAACTCTAGAGGTCATGCTCAGTGTTTCGAATGACTCACAGCTACTACCGCATCAAAGTTTAGCTCAATATCTGTCAAAATGACAGAGTTACAGCCATTTTTTTTGTTATTACAGCTAATTGATAAAGGGAGATGTCATGAATCGTTGTAGATGTACATCCAAAGATTACTTTCTGCAAGTTTCATTAAAATCTGGTGGTTCAAAAGATTTTTCTAAAAAAAAAAAAAAAAGCTTTATGGCATGAAAAAATAATCCAGAGTAAATCTGACCTTTTTATTTTTAAATTTATTGTAATAAAGTTAAGGAGTAAATTATGTCACTAACGAGGAGAGTAATTGTACTGACATGTTTACATGAGACAAAACATTTAGGATTTTCCTGTAAAATTTTAACTTAAAAAAATAATTTAAACTAAGCAAAGCGGAAATTTGTAGGCATAAACCGGTTAAGTACATATAAATATATATGACTGTATGTATATATATATATATAAATATATATAACTACATCTATATATAAACATAAATCTACATATAATTACACATATACATATATAGTTATCTCTATGTATATGTAGTTTAATATTTTATATTTGTAGTTTTATATTTATATATATATTTAGTACTGTATATACACATCCATATCTATGAAGTGTGTGTGTACAAATATATATATATATATATATAATGTATGTATATATACAAATATTTACATTTTATATGTACATACAGTATATAACTATATGTGTATATATATATATATATATATATATATACACACACACATATATAACTATATGTATGTATATATATATATACACACAAATATTTACATTTTATATATATATATATTTACATACATATAACTAGAGTATATTTGTATACAAATATATATATACATAAGACATGTCATACCTATCTATATATATAAGAAATGTCATATATACCTATATATATATGACATTATACATATATATAGACAGATATGTATACACAGTATATAAATATATAGGCTCTAAAGCACAAAACTAAATACAAAGTAATTCAGTTGTAATCTTACCAAAATGTCAAATTGGGCAGTTAGGTGGTTGATATCGAAACAACTTTTAATTCAAAGTAAAACTAATGTATTCTTTAAAGCAGTATTTTACAAATAATGTGAAACTGAGTTATTAGATTATCATGAGAAGAAAAACATTAAGATATTAAGCAGAGCCAACACAGTGTGGAGTGTTTTAATACATATATATATTTTTATCTGCAGCACTGCTTTTATCTCGTTTTCCTTAAATTCACTGTACACAATGAGTGAACAAGAGGACATCAGTGTGTGTGTGGCACACTCCTCACAGACCTCATATACACAGACAGGTTGAGAGCTGCTGCCAAGACAAAAAAAATTAAACCATAATGAAAAGAAAAATAAATAATCAACACACACACGTGATAAAATGTGCAAAAAGCAGAGCGATGTTAAAGGAGTGTTTCTTGGTGAATGTCACCGTACGGTCAGAGGTGACGTCTAATTCATTGAGTCAACTTTAACCACATCAAGCAAGGCGAATAGTTTCACTTTGATTATAACTCAACTTTTGTCCTAAATGAAGGAAGTGGAACAGTTACATGCTCAAGTTTGGATGAAGTTTGGAGAAAAATGTAATAAATTCATTTATCAGCATAAAAAAAAAAACACACGCAAGTACAAGTTTGGTACATCAGAAATGACAAATTTAACATTTGAACGTTCTGAAAATCAAATCCCAAACTTGCCAGGAAGAGTAATTCATCAATTAGAATTTAATCAATTAAACATACATTGTATAAATATTAAATAATGAACGGAAACTTGCGTTTGTCTGACGTTCCTATAAATATTTATTGTTTCAGAAATGGCAAACAAGCTTTAAGTCGACTTCTTTAACCATTTTATGTCCTGCCTGAAAAGACACGTCTAGTTGTTTTCTAGTGCATCTCAATGGAATTTTTTTTTGTTGTAAAACACCCATTCGATTGTCATCCATTCATGCAGGAATTCACTTCTTTTTTTAACACCAAAACTGTAAAGCTATGATTGCACACAAAACAAAAATAAAGCAAAATACATTTATAAAGCAGTGAAAATAACAAATCAAGGAATTTAGCAGTTTTTGCAAAACAAGGAAAAAGTAATTTAAAAAAAATGGAAACATCTTCCTCAGAGTGCTTTGCTCTGGGGCTGTTTAATCACCCGCCCCCTGGTGTTGGGAACCGACTAATGCAGCCCCCAATCAGAAGCATCATAACAGCCGAACCGTGCTCCCTTTAGATACACAAAAATACACACTTTTTACTTCACAACATCAGTCTATTGATCATCCCCAACATTCATGAGAACGTTTCACACTCATCATTAAAGAATAAATAAAGGTGAGAAAGAGGAGAGAAGCAGGGACAAACAGTCCCGCCAAAACAGCTTTGTTGGCCTTTTCCCGCCAAAACAGCTTTGTTGGCCTTTTCCCGCCAAAACTTTAAGAAATTACGGGTGAGGAGAATGTTGACAGATAACTGTCATGTGACTGCAGCTGCAAGATTACAGGGATCGTCCAGTCATTTTATGGAGTGGTTTGTTGAATAGTTATCAATATCATCTTATAAGCTGTGACATCACAGCATCGAGTATGGAGACGGGGCACAAGTCTTCATCTAGGCTAGGCTAACGGCTAGCCAAAAGAGGGACTGTTTTTCAAGCTTATAACACATTTTCTCAAAAATGACTGGTATCAGCCAATAATAAAACTTTACACTTTCACATGACACTGTTTGTTCAGTTTGTTGTTTTCACACCCAAACAACAACCACGTTACTATATTAGTCTGGCGGGAGTTGATTAAAAAGCTGGTCAGGTTGAGATACATTCAGCAGCATCAGAAAACCAACATGGACACGGTCTGACCTCCTCACTCATACATTTGTGCAGAAACATGGATCATTGAAAACCGGGTTAAACTAAACAGGGTCATAGCAAAAAAAAAAGTTCAATATTAGCTAGCGTAGCATTCTTTCACATCTGTAGGTTGATTTTTGAGAAAGCCATGCTTTCAAAGCCTGAAAAACTATATATGACGATGGCTGGATGAAGACTTCGGCTCTTTTCTCCAAACTATGACTGATGTTACCGCTGATGAGGTACTCTTTGTAACAATCCAACAGAACACCGCTTCTAAAATGACCAATCCCTTGAACTGTGTCAGTCAGTGCAATACATAAACGAAGGACACGCTTCAACACGTGGATCATTCAAATGCAGAAAAAAAAGTCCATTCTATAAATATTAAGGTCCTATAAACAACAGCCTGCTTTGATGTACTTGGGAGGTAACTGTAGGATGGAACAGTTCAACATAAAACATGAGTTTAGTTGAAATCTTGTTATCTTCAGAAATCCTGAACTAACAAACATTTTCCACCCGAGTACAATGAGATGAAGCAGACTGACAGAAAAAGAGAGGATGAGACAAACTCTTTAGAAGGTTGGCAGACAAAAAGCCACAGGCTCAACGTAAAAGCACCAAACGGATACTTGGACAAACTAATCTATGAGACACTCGAGGGACAGAGTAAATAAAAAGGAGGCAAATTAAAGCCCAAAAGGAGTGGTGAAAATGTTATAAAAGCCCTGGAAAATTTAGACATTAACTCCTCCTGCACCTGTCAGGAAGAAGGCGCCACTTTTTGATTACGAGCAGATAATTCTACAACTTGGGCCCGTTTTGACAAACTCCGATGGAAAACATTGATATTTACAAAAACGATGAGGACTGACTGAAGCAAAGAGGTGCAGGAATCAGATAAAACGTGAGGAGTCAGGGCCTGTGAGTAAGGCACAGCGCTCAGCTTGTGGTTGATGCGCCGCCTTCATGCTGCTACAACCTTTGATGGCGGCAAATAATGCACAAGAACAATAAAACACACGTTCTCTTCTTCTACCGATCTATTTAGACAAATCCCCTCTGGCTCGAATGTTCCCGCTCCTGCGTTTTGGATCTTTGGATCGTTCAAGTCGCGCAGATCTGGCAAAGGATTCCTATTAAAAACACCCAATCAGGTGGTTTCCTTTAATTCAAGTCCTCTTCATATGTTTTAAAAGAATACACACACAAACATACACACAGGCAAAGTCTACCTTTTCAGACAAAACCTGCACAATATGACCATTATAGTGCATACCAGCTTCCGCATGTGAACCAGTCTCATCTATGGATATTTTAGTCAGGTTGCTTCACGTTGTGTTCCAGTGGCCGATATAAAAACTCATTCAGCAGCTTCGTTTTAAAGAACTCAAAAAAGCTGATAAATAAAAAAAGAGGGATTTGGATGCAAATACAGCAGAGGGGGAAAAAAGACATTTTTCAGGCCAAACACATTGTACAACTCAATATTTTTAAATTAAAATATGTAAACTCTACAACTTAAAAAAAAAAAAATTTGGTGTTGCAGAAATATTTAAAATAAAGAAACAAACAAAAAAAACAACCATCCGTTCTCATGCTTCTGTAGCACGACATTGCGCTGCAAAAGCTTGAGCTCTATTGCACGTTAAAGCTTCAACCACTGATCCAATTTCACATCGAAGCTCGCTGCTCTGATCACATCTTTACGCTGGTCCTGTTCGACAGGGAGGAGGAGGAGGAGGAGGAGGGGGGGGGGGGGCAAAGATGAAGGAAGGACCCAGGTTTGTCACATCTGGCTTTTTTTGTGCAGGTTAAGTCAAAAGTAAAAACGCCATCTTTAACCACCTAATCTCATCAACATTAAAATGAACCGAGAGGTGCACCCAGCTCTGTCGTTTAAGTTAACGAGAAGAAATTATTCTTTCTCTTCAGTATCCGTTAAGTTCCTCGTCCCTTTTTCCAGAAAAAAAATTTTTTTGGTCTGATAAATTAACAATTAGAGGGCTGTGAATCAACAAAGCAATGTAGAAGTTACCAAACAGACCTGGTTTGGGGGTTTGTGCCTCTTTTTTTTTTTTTGGTCTGCTCAAGTAGCAAGAGGGGTTGCGGGGGGGATTTTCAGCCATGATGGATGCATGGAGCACCGTGCAGAGTAATTTTTTATGGATTTTACCGATCAAAGCAGGTTTGGAAGTAAAATATGCATGTGTGCGAACTGGCCTTTGAATGTTTATGACTAATGCATTATTATATTAGAGGGGCAAACTCGTTCTGTTAACCTGGGCACGCATCGTCCTCTTTTCAGATTTGTTACTTGTGTGCATGGCAGCGTGTGCACGTGTCGATGTAGTGGTCACAATTTGTGTTTCCCTGACAGAATGGAGCGGTAGAGTTCTTCGTCCAGCTGCACGTAGCGCCCTCTGCTGGTATCCAGAAAGAACAGTCTGTCCGACACCGCAGAGGGATTGAAACCATCCCGACGCAGGTCAGTCTTCTGAAATTTAAATGTTCCTAAAAAGGAGAAAGAAAACGAGACGACTCAGATTATTTGTAATGTGGTGTCGAACAAGATATAAAATGTTTTGATACGACGTCGGACATTTTACCTGTTTTGTCGACTTCTGGGAGGAAGCGGAGAAAGACGGGTCGGGCGTACGGAGGGAGAACTTTCTCCATGTCCTTCACAAACTTCTCCAGGTCAGCGGATTGAGACGGATCAGCGATGGCCGCCATCCCAGCCTTTCCTTCTGCTCCTGTGCACAGAAACAGTCACAATCAGCTCAGGAAATAAAAGAGATGTTGAGCCCAACAGCGGGCAGATCAGAATCAGTCTCGTTTTCACACATAAGCAACAGTTCTCCCTCCAAACTGCTGGAAGTTAGTGCGTCAAAGCTTTTGTATTATTTTTCCACATACTTCCCATTTATAAATAAACAGAATATTTTAAGTAATAGTCAATATGGGTTTAGAGCAAAACATTCAACATCAGTGGTTCTAATGGAACCAATAGGAGATAACAACTGCTGTTGATCAAAAACAGTATTGTGTTGGTGTTTTTGTTGATTTAAAAAAGGCCTTCGACACTAATGACCACACCATTCTCCTTGAAAACCTGAATAAATATGGCATCCAGTTATTTGAATAATAAGAGACAGTTGGTAAACGATGTAAGGTGGGATCTGAATTTTGTGTGAATGGATGTGGAGTTCCTCAGGGCTCTGTGTTGGGACCAAAGTTGTTTATTTTGTATGTGAATGATCTGATTGGTGTATCAGGGCTTTTGAAGTGTGTTTTATTTGCAGATGATGCCACATTTTTTTTGTTCGGATGAAGATCTTGAACAGATGTTAAGAGATGATACAGGCAGAATTCGTAAAAACACAAACTTGGTTCCAACTTAATAAGTTATCATTAAATTTGGAAAAAAAACAAACATGATATTTAGTAATAGAAATAAAATGATAAAAGTTCCATTTAAAATTGACAGTAATGAAATTCATAGTTAATGAAATAAAATTTTGGGGTGTTGCTATTGATGAGAAGCTGACATGGAAATCTCATGTAAATTACTTAACAATAAAAATATATAAAAAAAAAATTGCATTACTGTATAAAGTAAAACAGTTTTTGAATGACAAAGCTTTGTATATAATGTAATGATTGTTCCATATTTAATCTATTGTATTGAAGTTTGGGAAAAGTATGTAAAACAATTACAAACCTTATTTTTACTTTACAAAAAAGTGCTATAATAATTATTAGTAGGAAGTGCTATGGTGACCCAACAAATATATTATTTCATCAATTGAAATTATTAAAATGTTATGATTTGGTTGAATATAGTATTCTACAAGTCATGTATAAAGCTCATTAAAAAATATTACCCTCAAATATTCAATTAAAATTTGCACAAAAAAAAAAATTGTTAAAAAAATGAGTCATTATAAGTGAATTGGCACCAGCTCCAAATCAAATGTAGGACTCTTTTGGGTAAAATAGTAACATTCTTTAAATACAAACCACAGATAATTCAAATCCACACATATTAATAGATGATACCTGGTACTTCTACTCCATAAACAACTACATCTTTCATGTCCAGCAGTCTGCTTAGTGTTCCTTCCACCTCAGTCGTCGAGACGTTTTCTCCTTTCCAGCGGAAAGTATCTCCCGTTCGGTCCTTGAAGTACATGTGACCATACCTATCCATGATCAGCACGTCACCTGGGGACAAAAGTCCGTTAGATTTTTATAGCTCATTCAAATGAAAACACGTCAAAAGCTTGATGAGCGTTCTAACCAGAAAGGTAGGCGCTGTCTCCCTTCTTGAACACGCTATGAGCGATCTTCTTGCTCGTCGCAGACTGGTTGACGTAGCCGTCAAACCTGCGAAGAGGGTCATTCTGAATAATTCTGCCAACGAGCTGGCCGGGCTCGCCTACAACAAGAGAAAGAAGGGATTATTTTACCTTCAGTGGGATTTGTGCACAACTGCAATGTTAAACTTCACAACTCATGCTGGGAGTTCATTATCGAGTCAAAGAACAAACCCACCGGGTTTACAGGGGATGCAGACGCCATCGGGTCCCCTGATGAGCTCCATGGTCTCTTCGTCAACCCTCACCAGTCTGATGGGGTAGATGAAGGGCATAATCTGACTGTTAAAGCCACATGCTCCAACCTGAAACACAGGCACAAAATTCAAGGCTTAGCATTCCTTGAAAGAATGCATATCACCCGCCACCTTTCATTTCAACTAAAATTATATTTTGCTGAGAAGGGAGAAAGGTGCAGCCATTTTGGTCTGACGTTTTCTACATGCATATATTTATAGTTGCATGAAATTCAGCATTTTAGTTTTGAGGATTTTCAGAAGTGCAGAGGACAACAACTTTTTTTCTGCAGGACTTGTCCTCACCTTGTTGTCAAAGTTGCCCAAGCTGCAGTTGCACTCTGTGGCTCCGTAAAACTCGGCTATTTGTGGGATGTTGAAGCGGTTCATGAACTCCTCCCATATGGACTGGCGCAGGCCGTTGCCCAGCGCCATGCGCACCCGATGCTGGCGCTCGGTGTCCCGAAGCGGCTGGTTCAGTAGATATCGACAAATCTCTCCGATGTACTGCACAATCTAAAAAAAAACAAAATAAAACTCACGTTAGATAAAATGGGGGCAGCTTACAACTTAAAAATGATAAATGGGGAGATAAAAAAAAAACTACTAAAGGATTTTTGGAGAAATTGTCAGGAAATCTCGCAGCACTGTGCAGCAATGACTTGGAGCAGAAATCATGCTTACGGTGCAGTTATATTTGACACAGTCGTCCCAGAACCGCGAGGCAGAGAACTTCTTCCTGATCACCACGGTCATCCCGTGTATGATGCACTGACCCACCCCCACAATGTTTCCTGAGAACAAAGAGGGGGTCACGATGTCATCTTCACAAAGCAAAGATAGCAAAACTGAAACTGTAGATGGAATCTGCACAAACATTAAAAGGCAAGAAAAGGATAAGTTATACCGATGCAGAAAAACTGGCTCATGCATTTGTCACGTCTAGAGTGGACTATTGCACTGGTTTATTATCTGGGTGTCCAAATACTTCTTTAAAAACTCTTCAGTTGATCCAACCCTCAACAACCTAGCTCCATCTTATTAAAAGTCTTACTTCTAACCTACAAAGCCCTCAACAACCTAGCTCCGTCTTATATTTGAGATCTTGTTGTTCCATATTTTACTAACAGAGCACTTTGCTTTCAGACTGCAGGCTTACTTGCAGTTCCTAGAGTTTCCAAGAGCAGAATGGGAGGAAGATCTTCCAGTTATCAGGCTCCTCTCTTGTGGAACCAACTTCCAGTTTCTGTCCATGAGGCACATTGTCCAGTTTTAAGACTGGGATTAAGACTTTCCTTTTGGATAAATCCTATAATTAGGGTTGGCTTCTTATGCTGCCTTAAGCTGAGACTACTGGAGGACAAATTGACCTCATTTCATCAAATGTACATTTACAAATCCATACAAATAAACAGTTTGTATTTGTAGTTATTCTTTCTTAACATATGATTTGTCTTTTTTCCTCCTACAGAAAACCTGACGGCCTCCATCCTGGACTTGCCACTGTGTGTTCGTTTTCTACTTCCTGTTTCTCTCAAACCCAGCCGGTTGAAGCAGACCTGAGCCTGGTTCTGCTTGAGGTTTCTTCCTCGTGAGGGAGTTTTTCCTTTCCACTGTTGCCTCTGTGCTTGCTTAGGATGGGAGACTGCGATCAAGTGAAAACTCAAAGCTACTTATAAATAATAATAATGATAAATAATGCCATTAACTGACTTTTGACCTAAAATATGGTGTGGTAGTAGCCGAGTCATTATCAACACCTACTCTAATCTGATTGAAACCACCTTTGCTTATTGTACATTTAAACAAAGAAACTGTGCTCTTTGTGGAACTAAGATGACACTAAAGTATGCGCACGAGCCAAGTCAAGTGCTTTTGTTGTAGAAATTGGAGCTAACATTAATCTGGCCATAATCCAACTCTAACCAACGTCAACAAACTAAACTGCTCTCTCTCTTGTTTTGCATGAGAATGAATGAAAATCTAGTTACTTTCATCTGGCAGGAGAACAAGATGTCTGACCTGGACAAGAAACAAAATCCTTCATACTGACTCTTAGATATTTTATTTACTCTCAGCTTGTTCAGCTTATTGTCATGTGCAGTGATAAACAAAGGAAGAAATGAGTGTACCAACAAGGCCAGAGAAAAGGAGCTAAAAGTTTGACACTTGTCAGGCTCACCTACCTGCAGAGTGATAGAGCGGAAGGCAATCATACATCACATCGTCTGAGGTCATCCTAAAGCCATAATAAACCAAAGCTGCCATGCGGTAGTACCTGAAAACCAGGGTGAGGTGATGAAAGGTGCAAAAGTAACCAGTAAATTAGGTCATATCAAAGGAATAGTATTTGAGCTACACAGAATTAAAAGAGAACAGCTGTTTTTCCTGTGCGTTTGTTTGTCGGCTGCTCGCCTCCTTCCTACCTGCTGTGCACAACAATAGCAGCTTTAGGCATCCCTGTGGTTCCTGATGTGTAGATGTAGAACAGGCGATCTGCAACAGACGGCACAGAAACAGAGAAATATATCAGCTGTTAATAAATGGCTCAGGTCAGCGTTGGACTGTCAGGTTTAAATTTACAGACGGATTAGAAATTATAATTTAAAGTGAGCATTTAGCAGAGTTTGTACATATTTATATGTTTATCTTCCTCAATAATAAAGATATATTTTTGGCTTTGTAATGTATTTTGAGAATAAACAACTACCTCATAAAAGCAAGAATCTAAATAATGCTTTATGTTAAAGTTTCCATACAAAATGTATTTTTGCCTTGACTCGGCTTACAATGCACCCGACCTCGACTTAAATTCTGCAGAGGGGTAAAATGATTAAAGTTCTTGAATTTTTACTGGTGAAGTAAATGATATAGTATACGAGGGAGCTTTAGGGCCACGCTAAGATTTTTTTTTTTTTTTTAAAACATAAAATTACAAGAATAAAGTTGAATAAAGTCTTAATATTATGAGAATAAAGTCATACAAGACTTTTTATTTTGTACAGCTCTCGTTTATTTATTTTTCCACGAGTCGGATCCATGACGCAAACTGTCAATCAATCCAGTAGGCGTGTCAGCAAATGACCAGTCCGAAGCTAAATGCTCCTTACCTGCAGAGCTGCGCTGCAGCCCATCAGAGCGTACCACCTTACTGTGAGCAGGTTCAAAGTCATGATACTGATAATAATCTGATGCTGATGATCTAACAGATTAACTATCTCCTTATTTGTAAAACCAATACCAAAGTATAACTTAACAAGGTGCTCAACATTCTTCATTTTACCACAGTTGAAATGCGGTAAACCTGCTTTATGTGTCGGAGTTCAGATAATATTACGACTCATTTAGCTTCGGATTGGTCATTTGCTGACACGCCTACTGGATTGATTGACAGGTTGCGTTGTGGATCTGACTCGTGGGAAAAAACTAACAAAAAAACCACGAGAGCTGCAAAAAGACTTGTATGACTTTATTCTCATAATTTTATGGCTTTAAATTTTATTTTATTTTTCTTAGCATGGCCCTAAAGCTCTGTCGCAGTTTAGAACAGGGCTATTCAACAAAATTGCTCGGTGGGGGCCACAGTTTCTGAAAGCCAACAGCTCGGGGGCCGGACATCCAGCGCTTAAAACCATTATGTAAATAAATCAAAGTTTACAATTATCCGTTACCTTTTGAATTTGTTTATTTTATTGCACTGAATCATAAATGCAATAAACAGAACCCAAAACCCAAACCCAGTGGGCCGGATTGAAGTCACCCGCGGGCCATTTCCGGCCCACGGGCCAACACTTTAATAGCCATGGTATAGAACAAGGCTGATCTGTGGTCAGTATTTCACTTTCTGGAAGTTATCAATCCTTGTGGTGAAAGCAAAAAAACCAAAAAACAAAAAGAGGACATGCATGCAAAAAATGCTAATTTTCTATAATACAAGTTACAAATATCCTGCTCAGCTCTGCAACTTTTAGACATTTTCACTTATTTAAAAAGATGCAGTTTGAACCTAATGTTTTCCTGTTTCCACATTATCCAGAACTACAAAATATTACAATCAAAGTCAGCACGGTGGCGCAACTGGTAGAGCCGCTGCCTCTCAGCAAGCAGGTCCTTGGTTCAAACCCCGGTCCAGGGGCCTTCTGGGTGGAGTTTGCATGTTCTCTCCGTGCATGCGTGGGTTTTCTCCGGGTGCTCCGGTTTCCTCCCACAGACCAAAAACATGCATGTTAGGCTGATTGGTAACTCTAAATTGTCCCTAGGTGTGAATGAGAGAGTGAATGGTTGTTTGTCTCGTTTGTCTCTATGTGGCCCTGTGATGGACTTGCGACCTGTCCAGGGTGTACCCCGCCCCTCGCACAGTGATTGCTGGACATGGGCACCAGCGACCCCCGTGACCCAAAATGGAATAAACGGGTAAAGATAATGGATGGATGGATGGACAATCAAAGTCTAATCTTTTGAAGACTTGTGTAAGAACCTTGCTATTATTATTCACACTTTTCATTATTCATTTATTAGACGGTGTGTTTGTGTTCTGTAAAATAAAATTAAAATATATAATATAATATATATAAATATATAATAATATAATATAAAATTCTCGTGATGCATTAAAACTAATAAACAGAAGGATGAATCTCAGTGGACCTCTTTATTATAGGATTTTGTCTTCCTGTTAAACTGAAACGACGCATTTAAAAGATTTGCTAGAAACATTAAGAGCAGGAATATTAAGCCCACGTGTGCAAACTACAAACAGTCATCTGAGTTGTTCGGTTTATGCACATTTGTGTTGTGGGTCATGCATTTTGTGTATAAAGCCGACTCATCCGACTCGTTACATTTTGGTGGCAGCTTTGACAAGCGTGACCAAAGCTGGCAAGATTTATTGTTGAATCAAGTCAAACAGTCAGCAGATACCCGAGTAATGCAACTGTAATAACAGTGAAGCATGCAGGAGTAAAGCGTGCAAATATGATTCCTTCATGACCTTTTTACGAGTATTATTGTTGGTCTCAAAAACGTTTTCTTAAACTGGAGAACTTCGGGAGTAATTTTAAGCCTCTTAAGTTGATGATACGGGGTAAGGATTAAATCTTAAAAAGTTTAAACGTTCAGTTTTTTAAATAAATACCAGCAACCACATTATAAACATATATTTTTCAAGCAATGCCATCATGCTCACATCATGCTTGAAAGAATAAATCATGCCAATCTTTTCATTTATTGTCACAAAATCTACGATTTTAAATGAAGTTACTCCAAAGGACATCTTGAATTTTCAGTTCCGTTATCACTTTGCAAAAAACTCAAATCTATGTTGTTTTGTTAGAGTGGCAACAAGAAGGGTATTGTCACCTGTGAAGCAGCGCTGCAGCGGGCGAGGCAGGCAAGGTCGGCGGGACGAGGCGCCGGCCAGCAGGGGTTCGAGGCACTCGGTTCCCTGTGGGACTCGTTTGGGGTCCCAGTCCCCAGAGCAGAACATCTGCACCGCCTTCCCCATCGAGTTGTGGACCTCGGAGACCGCTGTGAGAGCAAAAGAAACACTGAAGTATGCAGGAACATTTCACAGGGTGCATTTCAGCAACGGAGAGAAAAATAAAAAACAATTTTCACAATTTGAATAGTTGATGAAGAGAAAACAAACAATGCGAAAGCAAAAAAGGAAAGGAAGAGTCGAACTGAAAAAAGTCTGGAAAAAAATTTAAAAGTGAAGTGTGGCCTAGAGAGTAAACGAATAGTGAGAAAAAGACAGGAAGTGCAATTTGAAACAAATACTAATCGAATAAACTGTCAGCTTTTTCCTTTAAAAAAAGAGACAAAGTATCTGAATGTAAAAAGCCTGATCTGCTGATTCCATCGTAGTAAAAATAATACTAGCATGATTTTGGCTTACACTACAAAAAAGGCCGGATTTCCAATTACTTAAAGAAATTAAAACACGCTACAAGTTAAAGAATTAACACATACAGCATGATCAATGTGATAATGAACAACCTTTAACTCTTTACAGCTGTTCTGATTGAAACTTTTCTGACTGGGAAGGAATCCAACAGACAGCTATGGGAAGAGAAAATTAAAACTAATTCATGTGCGACTGAGCAGCTGCACTTAACGTTTTATTAGCAACCAAGCTAACTTGAAAACCTTAAACTTAGTAGGCAGCACCCAATTCACGACACTTATTCTAGACACATGCGATGAACGATTTAACTTTTTAGATCTTTTATCTAGTTTGGAATTTTATAACATCGAAGTACTTGCAACCTGTCCAGGGTAGATAGATACCATATTTTTTGCTGTATAAGTCACATTTTTTTGCATAATTTACATGCCCTGCGACTTATACGCCAAAGCAACGTATTTATATATTTTCCCCATATTTATAAACCAATTTTTGACTGAGATATGATCGTTTTTATTCATTCTGACTGAAAACACTGAACACTACCATTTTCAGCCGCTAGATGGTACTTTAGTATGGCAAGCCATTGTATCAAGTGGCTATTAATGACACAATTGACTTGCCATAGCCTCCCACCTTCGTTCAGCTCGCCTGGAGAAAACATCAAATCAGCTTCATTTCACTGCGTCGCCCCGGTGCAATGCAGCTAATTTGACCATTGAAGTGTATTTATTAAGTAAATGTTCAACTGAGACACATCTTTACTATAAAGTCGAGCAAACAAATAATTGTTTTTAAGTGTTAATCTTATTAAATTATTGTAAAGTCCTCCCGTGCACGCTCCTGTGACCGCCGGCCCATATTTCCGGGTTGTCAGCTGTGACGCATAACAGATGTGACGTATACGGCGAAGCTACATATTTATGGATTTTTCCACTTTATTAGACATATTTAGACTGATGCGACGTGTACGGTGGAAAATACGGTAACTACAGAATTTGAATTATCAAAGTAAAAAATAGCAAAAGGCAAACTAAAGTAGTAAAAGACTACATAAAAGCTTTAAAAAAAAATTAAGTAGTGTGAGAAATAAAATATAATGTACCAGTAAGTATGCTGAGGCAGGTTTCAGAGAGAATAATGTTTTTAAAAGAACTGAAGCGATTTCAACGTATTTTAAATGAGGAAAATACTTAAAATATTAATATTTTGTAAAGTGTAAAAATTACACGACCCAAAAGTCAGAGCATCCATCTCCTGAACGAGCTGAACTTTTTGATTTATGAAAGGCTAAACTACTATAGTACAAAATATATAGAAGCGTGGATGCTGAATCAGCATGCACACAGCAGTTGAAGTAATTTGCTTGCTGAAGGTTTTATTCTCACATCAATTAAAACAAATACATGTGATACGTGCGTCTTTATCTCGCTGCCTTTTATCAGTTTTATTGGATCATTTATCACATGATTTTCTCTGCCAAGCTCAGACCTTGAGCACTTTATGCTGGTGATAAAGATATTTCTCTCAGTACAGCGAGTGCCACCGACTGATACTAAGGAGACACCTACTCAAATAGCCATTTATCTTTTATGACCCATGTTTCTTTTTCCCTGCACTCGCCTCTCTCATTACACAGGAAGCAGAGCGGCATCCCTGAGCACAGGTCAGGTCTGTACCGAGAGGCTCAGGATGATCGTCGGAACTGTAACTCTTCCAGCATCTTACCGTCAGTTAGCTCCGAACCAAAGATCACAGCCTTGGAGTTGGAGATGGCGACACAGTGGACCAAAGCCTCAAGTCTCAGATTGAAGTTGATGAGAGCAGCTTCAACTCCAATTTTGGCCATGCCTAACCAGAGGCCCACGTACTGGGACCGGTTCTCCATGAACAGGGCCACCACATCACCCTCCTTAAAGTAAAAACACAAAAACAAGCAGGCGCTGTCAAACAGATTTCCAGTAAATTAAAACAAGTCCTTCACTAATAAAACGAAGGTGAGCCGTTTTTAAACTGTGTCGTTTTTCTACACCTTGAAGCCTCGTTCCAGCAGGAAGTTAGCCACTCTGTTGGAATATTCATCCAGCTGTAGGAAGGTCCACCTCTCTCCGGTCCCCTCGAAGATGAGCGCCGTTTTGTCCCCGTGACGCTGCACCGTTTCAGCAAAAATCTTAGGTATAGTGTTCTTCTCTCTGACATGACGCCTGACATTCAGCTTCACCCGCAACAAGACATACGCTGCACTAAGGAAGAAAAAGAATAAACTTTATTAAACAGGAGCACAGACAAATAAAACCACTTTAAATGATAAACGAGTCAAACGACTACCGGTAGTATGTCTTAATGAGTTAGCATACCAAGGTTTATCAGATATTTTAATATTACATAATGTTGCAGACGAGGTAAAAGTGTTTCTAAGAGAAGTTGTAAGTCTCTGACCGCAGTTATTTATAGCTCCAGTCTTGTAAAGTGGGCTTTTGTGTAAAAAGATATGAATAGTCACTATCTTACCTGTATTAGATAGCTTTTTGAAATACCTCAGATTGAAGAAATTTTAATTCTGACTAGAATATGAGATAAATGTTAGGAATCTTTAGGCACCAGTTTGTTTGTTTTTTGGCTGATTTATTCAGAAGACTGCAATGTGATTATAAATATAATGATTGAAGCATATCGTTTATCTTGAAAATTAAATGACTGACTTACACAAATAAATGCTGATTTATATGTTTTCATATCTAATAAGAGTGCACAATGACTAATAGCAAAAAACAATCACAAGCTACTGACCAATACTTAGCATAGATGCTAGCTTAATGAAAATGCCATTGAAAGCTAATGTAATTAGCATCCTGTTATCACTGGAAATTTATACACAAATCAGACAAACTACAGGTAGCTATGGTAGCTTTACTAGGGCAAGAGTTTGACACCGAGTAGCAACTACTCTGCTGATTTACGTGGCAGCACAAATTAACTACCAAATGTGATTTTTAACATTTAAAATTTAATTTAAAAATTGTCCACCCCAATGGCTAGTCCAAGCTGAACCAAAGTGCTGCACAATAAAATAAACTGTAACAGTAGTACATAATGGCAGCACAACGGCTCAGTGGTTAGCACTGTTGCCTCACAGCAAGACGGTCCTGGGTTCAATCCCCGGTTGGACCTGGGGTCTTTCTGTGTGGAGTTTGCATGAGTGGGTTTTCTCCGGGTACTCCGGTTTCCTCCCACAGACCAAAAACACGCATGTTAGGCTGCCTTCAGGCCTAGGCCTCCCTTGCTAAAGAGATCTGTGATCTCAATGGGATTTGCCTGGTTAAATAAATACATTTAAAAAAAAAAAAAAGCAAACTAAATTAAAATAAACTAAGAAGTCAACATCTTAGATGGTGTCTAAAAAACAATAAGAGCTGATGGATGTAATGTAATGTCAAGATTTACAGAATAAAACTCTTAAACTCCTCTACAACAGGTAAGATATTGATTGAGTTACTTTTTCACAAAAACTCACTTCAAGCTATCCGACATACCACTTTAATTTTTTTTTTTAAATAAAATAAAAAAGCAATCACTTCAGCTACACAAGTGACACTAAAACCAGGAACATTTGCTTTGCTCTATATAAATAAATGATAATCAAATATATTCAGCCATCCGACGACATCGAATACCTGCATGTTACAGAACATAAAATAAGACGTAAAACATCACACCTGCAGACCGACGGGGCAAAGTCCAAATAAAAAGCAACCTGTACCTTTGCATTTATTGCACAAAGGTAGACAGACGGTACTCTGCAGAGATGTGAAGAACATGATAACAACTGCAAGGCAAGTAACTTATGGTTGTACTATGATCTTTACAAAAAGCCTATTACATAAGAGATTAGATTTACTGTATCTGTAATAATTTCAGTTTGTTGTGGATCAACAGGTTTAACCACTTAATCCTTTTCTACCACGCAAACATAAACAAAAGAAAACACTTTTAGTAAAACGTATTTCCTGAAGATACTTGGATAGCAGCCGGAGCATCACTGGAGCACGTGGGGGAAGGACAGATTTAGGTTGTACTAAAGCAAAGTAGTCAACTTTTGTGATTCTTACAGTGTAAATACCAGAATCTAGTTCAACCACTTTTCACATAACCACGCAGTGAGTCACTGTGGAAAATGTAGCCTTTGTCGGGGTCATACTCTGTGAATTCTCAGTAGATGTAGTAACACATTTAAGGAAGCGGACACATTATTTGTTGAGTAGTCGGACAAACGTAGACCTGAAAACCGTCCATTTTAACCTAAAGTGTTAAATATAAGTATTTTTCTAAGCGATCCTGAGCAGGACCATGAAAGACACGTGTTTTACAATTTCCTCTTTTACCAGACTTTTGAGAGAGGGCGATAAAAAGGAAGTTTACTAAAATCCAACACCATGGCAATGTCTAAATGTAAATATTGACTGATGGTTCGGGTCCTAAAACATGTCCTCCTTACCACATTCTTTCCATTTTCCTTTTGTAACAATATTCCAGGTGAACAGGTTTGAACTGAAAGCTGCTTTCAAAGTAACAAGCCTGCATTCTTGAAGATTGACATTTTTCTTTTAGGAGGGACGCGGATTTAAAACGTCGTGATAAGTGTAATAAAATGTGAATTTCCAGTTTTAACATTAGTGTTTGCCAGTACAAGTCAAATTATTGTTCATTACGTAGAATTTCACTGAGAGGAGACAAAAGCGAACAAACGCCAAATCTTTCTCTTATTTTACAGAACGTCGTCTGAAGAACTGGAAAGATTAAATGACCGTAAAATCTAAAATCAAGTTAAATGTCCTTATATTTATTTTAATGAAGTGGAAATGTAAAAAA